CTACACGACGCTCTTCCGATCTCCCCAAAACCCCAAAACCCCATGAAGTAGTAAAACAAGTGAATGCTTGAAAATAGTTGTTATTTATAAACTTAAAGTAAATTCAAAATAAATTTAGATTGAGTATCATTATGAAGTGCAGAAAGGGCATTCTTAAAGTAGCTGCTAATATCATTATAGTCCACCTCTGGTTTCTGGTCTTTATTACAGCTATTGCTACATTTATAGCACTTCCTAGCTGACAGGGATTCCTTCTTCCTCTTCTTATTAATCATACTTCGAGGAATAGTTGTTATTGTTATCTTTAGATTTATTAATATCAGACACAGCTGCCCCATTATTTTCACTTAAGTCTCTATCAATCGCTTTATCGGATTAACTAGGCTCTACACCAGACATACTTTTAGTTTCAAAGTCTTGAGCGTTCTTGGCTTGAGTAGTAGCCTCCTCAAAGATCAGTCTGTTTTTCCTCTCATTCTAATTCTAGCCAATTATCTTCCTCTGTGATTTACCTTTACTCTGTCTATTATTCAGAGCATTCGGAGCTGTCATTGGTCTAAAATCTTACTATGATGATGTTGGCTGGAGTTGGCTGCCTGGACTAAAGATCTTAGGTCTCTGATTTTATTGTCTACTATTTAGACTTTCTCGCTATTTCTAAAGCTGTTCAAGATTAACCTACAGCCCTTCTTATATAGGTTGGAGTGTTTTAGAGCCATCTGATTCTTCTCTTTATTAACTTGATCTTAAACCTTGCGCCGACTGAGTCAGTTTAAGCCTAGATACAGGCTGAGCCGACATCGTCCTTCCAGATAAGTTTGACTGATAGAATTCATGCTAACTTTAACTACTAAACATGTTCATTGTAGGTGTTTGAATAAAATAAGGATGCTTTATATAACGACCTATATCGATTAAATTAGAAATCACGATCAAAAGGTAATTGAAGAATGTAGGAGTGCACCTCATCATTTAACTTACTTGAGTTTTTTCTTATCATGTCCATAAAGTAAGTGTTGTGATCGAAATCCTTATCCCATCTGCCTTTGTCATAAGTGGATGAAGCTGTTTGTAGTCTCCGTAATAATTCCTACAATAAGATAGATTTAGATACTTTTATCCAAACATTGCTGAATTTGTAATCACTTACTTTATTTTCTTAGTTGACTCTTATAAGTTCCTTCAATCTTGAGATCCGATTCAGGGACTGAGATGAGGGAGCTTGCTTAATAACTATCCTCTATGGATTCAAGTTGCTAGGCTTGGTATCTATATGCAACATCTTTTTAAGAAGCACTCTATTCTCGTTTTGCATTTCCATGTATTTTGACATCAATTATTTCGTCTTTGCATTTGTGCCATTTTAAAGATGCTAATAATGCCTAGGAGCTTTCGTATCAAGCATGCTTTTCATACTGCGAAGACGAGACATATGAAGCTCATGCTCCTATAATCAAGTTAATATGATTATCTTCAGATTCTTACTCTCATTTTCTCTTTGTCGTAGATTAGTCTGTTTGCAATAAGTTACTTTGTATTCATATTTATTTGTATTTAATTTATTAATAAATTTCGATAAAATTATATTTATGCTTAGGAGTGATTATGTATGTTATTATCTTAAATCATCATCAATCATCAGCTAGTGCTAAAATCTTCTCAATTCTCAATCTCTGATCCTCCCTAAGTGTCTTTGGAAATTCTATCTCAAATCTTAAATGCAAATCTCCCATTTATTGTTCTTAACTCTCGCTTTCATCATCAAATTTCTTTTGTTTATAAATTGGCATTCCTTATCCCTCAATTTTAATCACTGTTTTAGGTCCAATCACTTGATCTACTGGCACCATTAGTATTCTACCATCGAAGGTTTCTAGTCTAACTGGGTCTGCATTGATAGCTTTTGATAGAGAGATTTGAGCTGTGTAGATCAAATCATTGCCTCTTCTCTAATAATTCTTAATTAACTGCAGTTGATTTGCATTTTCCCTGCCATTTAAAGTATGTGCTGACTCATGGAATGACACAATCAAATCACTTTTGTATTTCTTCATTTAGTGACCCTCTCCTTTAAATGTAAGACTATTAGCTTATGAGAATCCTGGCTTAACAGCAATTTATTTCTCAATAGTTGCTATTTTAATTGTATGGCCATCTAATGCTAGCTATTATCTCTGATAGGTAATCTTCTTGATGCATCCGTTATAGAATTCAAAAAGAGTGCAGGGAATTTAGACAAAAATATCGCCTATTCTGGGAGGCTCTGGTTCATTTGCTCCACCGAATCCAGTGCCAAATAGAGATCCATGAAGATCATGTCCCTTTGAATCGAAAATATTAAAGAAGGGGTTGTATTGCAAGAAATAAGTATCGAAAATTTGGTAGCAATTTTATTAGTAAACATATCCTCCAGTGAAATCTAAAAAATTCAACGATCTGTTACTTAATAAGTAATTCTTACTTCCTTTATCGTCTCTTAAGCCTTCTCTTAAAACATCTTCACCAAATTAGTCATATATAGTCTTAAACTATACTATAAAAGTTTATTTAAGGTATTGTATTAGTCCTACGATTTGATAAAATTTCATAAGCTTCACAGATTTCATGGAATTTTTGCAAATTAATATTCATTTCTGCTGGGTTCTTAAGGGGATGATGTCTCAAAGCTAGTTTCTTGAAACTATATATTAAAATTCAAAATAACTCTGTGTCTTACGCAGTAGATATCTACTCATCAGATGCATTTCTTTTTATGCTCAAAACATCATAAAAGTCCTTCTTCATTTTAACTTCAATTTAATATTTATTTCAAATTCACATAAATAAAATGATAATGGGGTTTTGGGGTTTTGGGGAGATCGGAAG